ATTGTTATTGTACCTGCCCCTGGGAACTACAAGTATATTGTTATTGTACCTGCCCCCGGGAACTACAATTATATTGTTATTGTACCTGCCCCTGGCAACTACAATTATATTGTTATTGTACCTGCCCCCGGGAACTATGAGTATATTGTTATTGTACCTGCCCCCGGGAACTACAAGTATATTGTTATTGTACCTTCCCCCAGGAACTATGAGTATATTGTTATTGTACCTGCTCCCGGGAACTACAAGTATATTGTTATTGTACCTGCCCCGTGAACTACAAGTGTATTGTTATTGTACCTGCCCCCGGGAACTATGATTATATTGTTATTGTACTTGCCCCCAGGGAACTATGAGTAAATTATTATTGTACCTGTCCCCGGGAACTATGAGTATATTTTTTTTGTACCTGCCCCCGGGAACTATGAAAGGATGAGCTAGAGGTATTAAAGATGTTTTCTCTTCTTCAATAGTTTCAGAAACTTCACGAGCTAAGTGCTGCCATCTGATAAATATAAAATAAATATGAAATCACTAATCTAAGCAAAATAATTAAGAAGTTAGAGTACGTGGGTTTCGTGAATGGAGCACATACAAATATTAATGAACCCAAAAAATGTCAAAACTTCCAGCTAGGGTTGGCTAGAAAGTTTGAAGTTAGTACTTTAATCATGACTTAGTTAATGTGCATTTACGTTTTATGCCATATTTTTTTCATGACTTAGTTAATGTGCATTTACGTTTTATGCCATATTTTTTTCGCCGGAGGTACAGACCATAGATTAATAACAACACAGATAGAACACTAGATATTGTCTTTTCAAGATATAGGAGTTTTCGTTCACAATAACTCTGATGCAGAAACCAAACGGAGTTACGCGCATGCTTCGTTGAATTACAAGACAGAGAGAAAGCCGGTTCAACGCCGCATGCACGTAATTCTCGCGTTATAGGCAAAAAACGGACGTTTAAAGGGAAAAATCCCAGAGTCCTCCAAAAATAATAGTTTTTTGGCCCTAGATTAACGAATTTTCACAATTTCAAAACCAAAAACTAAGCAATATTTAATGGTTTGAAGTGCAACTTTTGACACCAATATCGACATGTTTCGAAAAAATTGAAAAATTGTCTTCCCATGGTGATTGTTAATTTTTAAAAGTGCTTGGGCTGACCCATTTTTTTAATCTAAAAAAATTCATAAAATATATTTGTAAGTTTCAATGAAAATTTTTGCTGTGTGTTGGTAATTTTGGAAAAAAATTTAAAGATTAAAGTTTTTAGGAACCATGAAGTAAACAACTAAAATTACATTCAAACAATTGATAATAGAATTCCTAAAAGATTTTTTTATTTGGATTCACTCATCTAAGTTATTATCCTATGATTTACCTTTCATGAAGAATTTCCACTAATTTTCTATATGACGCATCCTGTACATAAGAAACACTTGTTTAGATTTTCTATCATACTATTAAGCAATATTATCAAGATTTATTACGACTAAAATTGATTCACACAATTAACCAGAGTTTAAAACTAAATCTTGTGTAGAAAATTTTAGATAGATGGAAAGATAAAATGTGGGTTTACTATTGTATTGGGTGTACTATTGCTGGAAAACGAATAAATGAATTCCAAGCTCAACTAGTTGTATGCTGACTCCATTGAATTGAACTTAGTGTATTTTATCTCATGAGATTTTGTCCTGACTTTTTTTATAACTCTATGGATAAACCCCATTTTATGTTGAATTCAATGGTAATATTTCCAGGATATTCTTTGTTGTTGAAACTAAACAAGATACCTGAATTCTACCAAGTATTTCAGGGTTTTCTGACCAATCCCTATACAACTGTAATTATAAATACGACACATTAAAAATAAGCTCACTCAAACAGCTTAAAGAAATTCCTTAATAAAACTTTAATTACATTCCTAAGTTTGACTTCTTTTAACTCTGTTCCAGGTTCTGAAAAAAATTCTGCCACAAATTGTTCTACCTAAAAAACACAAGGTTTTGGGACTAGTAAAGCAAACCCAAAACAACGATAACATAAATAATATACAACAAAAGCTATAAAATCTATAAAATCTACTAGGACCTGGTTGTATTTACCTCTGTTCTACTAGAATCTGGTTGTACTAATCTCTGTTCTACTAGGACTTGGTTGTATTTACCTCTGTTCTACTAGGACCTGGTTGTATTTATCTCTGTTCTACTAGGACCTGGTTGTATTCACCTCTGTTCTACTGGGATCTGGTTGTATTTACCTCTGTTCTACTAGGGTTTGGTTGTACTTAATCTGTTCTACTAAGATCTGGTTGTATTTATCTCTTTTCTATTAGGACCTGGTTGTATTTACCTCTGTTCTACTGGGGTTTGGTTGTATTTACCTCTGTTCTAATAGGATCAGGTTGTAGTCACCTCTATTATACTAGGTTCTAGTTGTATTTACCTCTGTTCTACTAGGACCTGGTTGTATTGACCTCTGTTCTTCAAGGACCTGGTTGTATTAACAGGGTATTAAGTTTTTCAAGATTTAAGCCGAGCTCAATTGAAACCGGTTTTTGGATGATTTGAGATGCGGCTTAAATTCATTAAATTCGAACACTGGTTGTACTAACCTCTGCTCTACTAGGATCTGGTTGTACTAAACTCTGCTCTACTAAGATCTGGTTGTACTAACCTCTGCTCTACTAGGATCTGGTTGTACTAACCTCTGCTCTACTAGGATCTGGTTGTTCTAACCTCTGCTCTACTAGGATCTGGTTGTACTAACCTCTGCGCTACTAGGATCTGGTTGTACTAACCTCTACTCTACTAGGATCTGGTTGAAGAGAGACATATTTTGCAAGGGTTTCGTTAACAGAGAACTTCAAAGGCATATCCACAAATGTCTTGCTATCCTTTTGTAAAACAATGTGTTAAAGGTTTTAATATTTGTAAAAACGCAAAATATTTTTTTTAATATTTTTAATTTTTATTCAGTCATTTTTTATTTCACTTCCAATAAAGAAAGCATTTTTTATGGTCCTCTGTTTCAAATTGTTTTAAGATTTGATATTTAATTTTACCTGAAATAGTTGTAGTGTTTGAACGGTATGAAGTATTCCTGAGTCTGGTTTACAGAAGATAACATGATTACACGGCCAATCCGTTAGTTCAGATCTGTTGTTTATACTAATGTTTGCTCATAGAATATGGATTACAGAGGATAAAAATACAGTTTTTGTGATTAGCCAAAAAACTTTTATTTATTTCTCATAAGTTGAATGAACAGGTGTTACACAAAATGAAAACTAGAGTAATAGGTCAATTTCAAAAATTTAAATTTTGCCTATACAAAAATTTTTTCTGAAAAGAAAACAATTCGAAAAGACATTATCATGAATGTTTGACAAGTTCTTAGCTGAAATGCTCAGTCGTTTTGATGCCTGCAGCGACCGAAAAGGCCTAACATAGGTAAAGGTAACAAGAATAAAATAGGTAAAGGTAACGAGAATAACATAGGTAAAGGTAACAATGAAATTCTATATTTTAATGTATATTTAGAAAGGAAATGATGGAATAACGTTCAACCCACTTATGCCATTTTCCTAAAATTTGTTGAAAAAAGAACATTTCAAAAATTTACTTACACTTTAAAGATCAAACAAAAAATTATACAAAAAAAGGCATACAAGACTCTTTTTACGTCTTTTTACGTAGAATATTTTGAAATAATATGGAGGCAAATAACTTATAAAGTTAGTATTTTTTCCCTGACTGGTAGCAGGTATATTGTTAGAAGCCCCGTCAGTAACTCTAATTCTTAAAATAAGATTTTTCAGATAAACATTTTTGCAATCTATTTACTTGTCTCTTTGTTCTTATCACTAAAGAACAGTCTTTCAAGATAATCTTTTTCTGAATAATTTTAACTGAATTAAAGTCAAAAGTTTGTAAAATCAATCAGCTCTCACAACCTTTTGGAACTTTAAAAACTGACTTTTCAGTGCAACCTTTAAAGCTTTTTAATTTTATAATACATTTGCCTTCATCCAACTTTTGGATTTTAAAACGATGCATTATCACTGATCAGACCTAGTGAGGTAGATACATAAATAATTAACTTTAAAAGTGTACACTACCTTTAATATTCTGAATCATGTTGAACTAAGCTAAACCAGATCCTGTAATCTATAAAGTTATTTAGTTTTGAAAAGATGCAACCTTTAATATATTCATCTATACATGCATTTTTAAGTTTGTGTGTGCATGTATTACCTATAGTATTCACGATCACTTTAATGCTATACAGATGTTTAACTACTAGTATCAGTAAACTGAATATTTAGTTCAGAATTTATATATATACTCTACACACTATACAATATACAGTTCAGGGGTATATATACTCTACACACTATACAATATACAGTTCAGGGCTATATATACTCTACACACTATGCAATATACAGTTCAGGGTTATACATACTCTACACACTAGACAATATACAATTCAGGGTTATATATACTCTACACACTGCACAATATACAGTTCAGGGTTATATATACTCTACACACTAGACAATATACAATTCAGGATTATACATACTCTACACACTAGACAATATACAATTCAGGGGTATATATACTCTTCACTAGACAATTTACAGTTCAGGGGTTTATATACTCTACACACTACACAATACACAGTTCAGGGTTATATATACTCTACACACTGTACAATATACAGTTCAGGGGTATATATACTCTACACACTATACAATATACAGTTCAGGGTTATATATACTCTACACACTGCACAATATACAGTTTAGAGGTATATATACTCTACACACTATACAACATACAGTTCAGGGGTATATATACTCTACACACTAGACAATATACAGTTTAGGGGTATATATACTCTACACACTAGACAATATACAGTTTAGGGGTATATATATACTCTACACACTTAACATTATATAGTTCAGGGGTATATATACTCTCTACACACTTAACATTATATAGTTCAGGGGTATATATACTCTGCACACTTACATTATATAGTTCAGGGGTATATATACTCTACACACTTAACATTATATAGTTCAGGGGTATATATACTATACACGCTTAACATAAAATAGTTCAGGGTTCTATATACTCTACACACTGCACAATATACAGTTCAGGGGTATATATACTCTACACACTGCACAATATACAGTTCAGGGGTATATATACTCTACACATTACACAATATACAGTTCAGGGGTATATATACTCTACACTATACACAATATACAGTTCAGGGTTATATATACTCTACACACTGCACAATATACAGTTCAGGGTTATATATACTCTACACACTATATAATATACAGTTCAGGGGTATATATACTCTACACACTACACAATATACAGTTCAGGGGTATATATACTCTACACATTACACAATATACAGTTCAGGGTTATATATACTCTACACGCTTCACATTTTATAGTTCGTGGATATATACTCTACACACTACACAGTGTACAGTTCACTACAGTCTACACGCTTCACAGTGTACAGTTCACTACAGTCTACACGCTTCACAGTATGCAGTTCACGGGCCTTAAAATATATACTCTATACTCTACATAGTAAGCAGTTCAGGGGTATATATACTCTATACTCTACATAGTAAGCAGTTCAGGGGTATATATACTCTATGCCGGGCACTTCAAATAGCTTACCTCGTTGGGAGATATACATCAAGGAAACTGACATCAAAGTCACTGGTCCCATGGATAAAAACATCAAAGATACAGGTCTATAGGGTTAAAAATCAATGGAACTAGTTAAATTGATAAGTACATGGAGGATAAAGGTTCAATAGATTAAAATTAAGGGAACCATGGATAAATGGATAAATACATTAAGAATACAGGTTCAATGGAGAAATACATCAAGGACATTGGTTCAGTGGATAAATTCAATAAGGTTATATGTTCAATGGATTAAAATCAAGGGCGCTGTACTGGTTTTCAGGATAAATACATAAAGGATACAGGTTCAATAAATAAATCAAAGACACAAGGTCCAATGGATAAATACATCAAGGATAAAGGTCCGATGGATAAATACATCAAGGATACAGGTCCAATGGATAAATACATCAAAGATACAGGTTCAATGGATAAATACATCAAGGATAAAGGTTCAACAAATGAATAAATCAATGATACAGGTTAAATAAATAAATCAAAGACACAAGGTCTAATGGATAAAAACATCAAGGATAAAGGTCCGATGGATAAATACATCAAGGATAAAGGTTCAACAAATGAATAAATCAATGATACAGGTTCAATGGATAAATACATCAAGGATAAAGGTTCAACAAATGAATAAATCAATGATACAGGTTAAATAAATAAATAAATAAATATTCAAGGACATTTTTTTAATGGATAAATACATCAAGGATAAAGGTCAAAATGGATAAATACATCAAAGGTGCAGGTCCAATGGATAAATACATCAAAGGTGCAGGTCCAATGGATAAATACATCAAAGGTGCAGGTCCAATGGATAAATACATCAAGGACACATGGTTCAATGAATTTAAATCAAGGGCACTGGTTCAACAGACAAAATACATCAAGGAAGCAGGTAACTGGATTTTAAAAAAATACATCCAGGATACTAGTTCAATCAAGGATGACGTGGGCAACCCAAATGTATATAATCTTGAACCTGAGTTGAAAAGAAAATGTGAAGTTATGAACCAATACTTTAGAAAATCTGAAGGGCAGGAACAAATAGAAACGTGTTGGAAATATTTAATCAGTAAATAGAAGCTCTGCAACAAATAGCAGATTATATATTTTTGTTTGTTCATGTTCAAGCTTCTAGCCAGTTAGTAGTTCCTGTTCCAGCTAATAGCTTGCTTCTATTTCAACGTCTAGCTGGTTAGTACAAAGCAGTCTCTGTTCCAGCTTCTAGCTTTTGAATATAGTTGCTATTTTAACTTCTTGGTGATTAGGCGTTCCTGTTCCCGCTTTTAGCTTGCTAGTTTTTCCTGTTCTAGCTTTCAGCTTAGAAGAAATTCCTGTTTCAACTTCTAGCCATTCATAAGTTCCTGTTCCAGCTTCTAGCTGGTCAGTAGTTTGTATATTTAAACTCCTAAGTAGTTATTATTTCCTCATTTAACTGATGGATTCACTATAACTATTGAATTACCTCTGCTTAGACTGCTAAATATCTACTTTTACTTCTAAAGTCAAAGTATTTTATTTTTTAGTTCAAAGGGTGCACATTAAAATTACTTTAATGAAAATTTTCAAAAGCACAAAAGTTTTTACAAACACATATTCTTTCTAGAGTGAGAACCAGAAAACTCTGGAAGAGAAAATCGGTTTGTATGCTTAATTTAGTTATTTAATAAGTTACTAGTAAGCTTCATGCTTTTTAACAACATCAAATATACTTGATTCTTGCTAAAATCTTGTCTACTTATTCCGCAAGTTCTCACTGTAGAAAATGAAAAAATATTCAAGCAAAGGTCAATTAAGGTAATTATGTAAGTGTAAACAAAGTTGTTGTCTGTTCCGCGCGAGTAATGCGAGTTAGGAGCAGTATGGTCTTTAATTTTCAAAACTGTTGAGAAAGTTCCCTATAATCTAAAACTTTGACTAAAAACGTTGTATCTTAATCACTTTTTTCGGGTCACCTTGTAAATGTAAAATTGGGTTAAGGAATGAATGCTGCTAATAATTTCAAAGATCAAAAACAATATTCAAGTCGCCCCTCTACTGTCATGTTTTGGGGAACAGCCTGTACTATAAAAATGGAAGAAAGTCGGTGCTGGAAATATTTTTGGTTTACTTTGTGATACATCCTGTTGAGTGTTAAAGTTGATGTTTTAAATGAGTTTGTCTCTAATCCTGGTTTTATTCTTCTTAACAGCATAATTGATGATGAGTTCTCCTACCCACTCTCTTCTATCCTTTCCTCGTCTTCGTGTCTCATTAATATTTAAGGATATTCTTCAGGATTACAGGGAGTGTCACTGTACCTGGTATCATTCAGGATATACAGGGCGTGTCATTGCACCCGGTATCATTCAGGATATACAGGGAGTGTCATTGCACTCGGTATCATTCAGGATATACAAGGAGTGTCATTTCACCCGGTATCATTCAGGGTATACAGGGAGTGTCATTGCACCAGGTATCATTCAGGATAAACAGGGAGAGTCATTGCACACGGTATCATTCAGGATATTTAGGGAGTGTCACTGCACCCGGGATCATTCAGGGTATACAGGGAGTGTCATTGCACCAGGTATCATTCAGGATATACAGGGAGTATCATTGCACCAGGTATCATTCAGGATATACAGGGAGTGTCATTGCACCCGGTATCATTCAGGATATACAGTGATTGTCATTGCACCAGGTATCATTCAGGATATACAGGAATTGTGTCAGTGCACCCGGTATCATTCAGGTTTTCAGAGAGTGTCGGTGCACCTAGCATTCTTCAGGTTTTAAAGGTGTGACATCGATCCTGAATATTTTTTAACAATCAGGTCCGGGGAAAAAATAACAATGAAGCTACAGTGTAACGATTTGGTCGGCTAAAAGTAACATACACTTTCACATCAACTCTAGGACAATTTTAAGAGATAGGAGAACATACCATTTGTTCAGTCAGTTCTCTTCTGAACCCGGTAAAGCTTATGAGAAATGGTTCAATTCAGTCTATGCAATTTAACTTCTTCCCCTATTCGATAAACCTGCATGACCCATACACATATATTTAAATAAAACCGTAATCTCTTGATCAGTTGATGTGTTTGTTGTCCGATCATAACTCTTGACCCCTTAATCGATTTGTTTCAAATTTTAAATTGGGGAAGCTTGGTATATTAGACCACAACTAGGTTTGAGAGTTTAATGATAAATAAACTTTACTTTAAAAACTTAAAATCTTCATGTCGAAGATGTTTAAGTGTAATTTCAATAATTTTAATTAAGAAATCTAAATATTTAAGATGAATGATATGTTGACGAAAATACAAAATCTCATTTTTAACAGACAGTAAACACAACCTCTGATGAACGTTGATCTTTCAAAGACTACTCCTACTATTTCGGTGTCTTGTAGTAGGATGTCTGTGTTTTAAATAAATGTACATTTGTCGTTTCTGTCTGTTAATTTAGAACCAATACGTCAAAACGACTTCATTCAAAAATGTCACCCCAAAAAAATGTTAAATTATTAAACACAAACAACAAAAATCTTTAATTATTATTACGAGAGGGATGCAAAG